ATCGAATTGAACTAAACTTGATGATATTGTAGAAGGAAAAAAGTTAAAATTTCATCCATTAAACTAGGTAGTTTCATCTAATCTGATGAAACGATAAAGTATCATCTTCTTTGCTCAATCAACTTTCTCTTTAAAGGTTACCTATTGATTCTAGATTAGATCAACTTTTAACTTTAAAGCATCTATATATACAATGAAAAGACCTCAAATATTCAAGCTCTCTCTCTCTCTAGATAACATACAGAGATGGCTAGATATTACAATTCAACTTATTCTGATTATCTCCAATATTTGTCACTGCCAATCACCTTCTTCTTCTTCCTAGCTGTACTATTTCTCTTCTTGATCATAACTTGGTACATAAACTATGAGTTCTTGTATGAAGACTTGATGAATCAGATCAAGTTATCCCTCATGATATTACCAGTGCTACTTCTACTTATCCTGCACTGGTTGTCTGTCCACAATCCACAGAGAGTCCCATTCGCTATGTCATTGCCCAAGAAGGATGCACTTCATAGGGCCGGAGGGTCACCATGGGGAGTCGCTATTCTGCTTGTGTTCCTTATGTTCATGATCACTCACCGTGCTTCTTTGCAAGAAAGATGGTTTCCCTTGTTTAGAAGACGACGATATTAGACATACACAAAAAGATTGTGCATTAGCTTGCTTCAACCTCTAAAGTGATGACTACTTTAATGTATTATGGTCAAATTGTGTACCTTTGATAAAAGGAAGTGATAAAGTGTAATAAATCATTCAAATATTCTTATTGTGAGTTCTATGAAGAGATGACGTATATGAAATTATTTTAATTATCATGCCATATTTATAGATTAGGCATTAAATTATTTGAAGAATTTCAAAAATTCAAAGCATTTTGATTAAATGCTTGTCCAATCTGAAGAACACCCTTCTGTGTAATACTTCCTCAATAATGAGAGTCAAAAACTCGCAAAAAGTAGAAAATAGACTTACATCGAGTGGAATGTGGACTTATTTTAGCAGTTCCACATGTCCGATAAGTAGCTTGAGTTCCTGATGTTCTCAGCATTCTCAGTCTCTTGCATAATTAGCAGTGAAATTGTATCTTGTCATTACTCATTAGGATCTTCAACTTCTTTTCTGTGAAAATGGCAAGTCTTTCTCCCAGCAGAGATCTTGTGGAGCAGGGATGGTTACCAATCGCTGCAGCTCTGCCATCTGATATTCTGGATCGATCATCTTAATTGTTACACAAAGATGTAAGTACCAAAATATAAAACAATCAAGAATGAGTTATAAGAAAATATTCCAGATCCATAATTTGTTCTGCAGCTCGTAGAAAACTCAAAACCGAAAGGCATCAGATGGAGATCCTTTTAGTTTAGGGCTCAGACTCATGAAAAATCACAGGATTGTACCCGTCTGTTTGACCCACTCGATTCCCCCAACCCTAAGGTTTTCCTCTATCAGTTTAAAGGAAACCACAAGGGTAAAATCACACACCAAACCCTTACCAATCTCTTAGTATTTGGTTTCACACAGAAGTTTCACTTAGAAAACGAATCCAATCAGAGATTGGATGTTCACGAAGAAGAAGAAGGGTTTTGGAAGGATCTCGAATCTCAGGCAGCTGCTCAAGAAAAAGAAAAATGACGTTCCAACTGATTAGAGCAAGGGGTGGATGTATTTATACCCACAAGAGACAGCCATTGATCAAAGTTTTATCCAACGGTCAGGGGCTCCCAAGAGAAACTGAAGAAAGCGTGTTTCTGGCTGCGTTAAAAAACGCCACGCCATAGAAACACGCTTTTAAACCTATTTTTGGGCTAAGGTGGATCGGGTCAAGTTATTGGGAAAGAGCCTAGTAATTTGTAAAACCAGTAATTTGGGCTTTAGCCCATTTTTGTCATCACAGCCCCTAAAAAAGGCCATTGAGCATCACAGCCCAACAACTTCCACCTTGATGCCAATGGGGTTTCTGTACACTTGTAGCTCTCCTATTGACACCAAGTTGTACCTGTATTGGAGAAATTAACCTGTATCAATATTCAAAAGTGCTAAACATGATTTAAACTTAGAAAGGGGCAATACCTTTGTCCCCATACTGATGGATTATACTGTGTAGGATTTTTTTTCAAGAAGAACAGATTCATTTGTGACAATATCCCTAATAAAATGCAACTTTACATCTATGTGTTTAGTTCTTTCATGAAAAACAGGATTCTTACACAGGTGTATTGCACTTTGGCTATCAGAATATACAACAACAGGTTCACTTAACATTTTAATTTCAAATAATAATCCCTTAAGCCACAAAGCTTCTTTTACAGCTTCTGTGGCAGCAACATACTCAGCCTCTGTGGTTGATAAAGCAACTATAGGCTGTAATTGAGACTTCCAACTCACACAGGTACCACAAAGTGTAAATATATAGGCAGAAGTGGACTTTCTATTGTCCCTATTACCAGCAAAATCAGCATCCACAAAACTTTTAAGCATTATTCCTTCATTACATTTTTTAAACACTAATCCAGAACTAGATGTGCCTTTTAAGTACCTAAGTAGCCACTTAAGTGCTTCCCAGTGTTCGAGACCAGAATTAGTCATAAACCTGCTTAAAGTGCTGATTGCATGAGCCACATCAGGTCTGGTACAGACCATGGTATACATTATAGACCCTACAGCATTTGCATATGGAACCTTTTCCATATACTTTATATCAGATTCATCAACTGGGCATTGCTCTTTACTTAATCTGAAATGACTAGCTAGAGGTAAAGACACAAGTTTTGATTCATGCATGGAAAACTTAGATAAGACCTTTTCTATGTAAGCTGATTGTGTCAAAATCAAAGTGGATTGTGCTCTTTTTCTAAGTATATCTATTTCCAATATTCTTTTAGCATGCCCCAGATTTTTCATTTCAAACTCAGCCCCAAGTGTCTCTTTAATATTATTTATCTGTTTTAAATCAGACCCAATTAACAGCATGTCATCAACATAAAGTAACAGAAAAATAGATATCGAAGAATCAGAATTTTCTTTAAAGTAAAGGCAATGATCATAAGAGCTTCTTACAAAACCAACAGTCATGACAAAATTATCAAACCTCTTATACCATTGTCTAGGTGACTGTTTTAAATCATATAAGGATTTTTTAAGTAAGCACACAGAATCAGATTTAGATTTATTTACAAAACCTTCGGGTTGTGACATATAAATTATCTCATCTAAATCACCGTGTAAGAAAGCTGTTTTTACATCCATTTGTTCTAATTCCCAATTGTGATGTGCAACTAATGCAAGTAGGACTCTAATAGTTGTGTATTTTACAACAGGTGAAAATATCTCATTATAATCTACACCTTGTTTTTGTGTAAACCCTTTAGCAACTAATCTTGCTTTAAATCTTACAGGCTCATTTTCTGAATTGCCTTCTTTTACCTTGTAAATCCATTTACAGTCAACTATGGATTTATTTTTGGGTCTAGGCACGAGATCCCAAGTTTTATTTTTCATTAAAGAGTCCATCTCTCCTCTCATGGCAGCTTCCCACTTACCAGACTGGTTGCATCTCATGGCTTCATTATAGGTCTTGGGTTCCTTATAGGCTAGGTCATTGTAAGACATGACAGAATAGGATAAATAGTCTTCATATCTTGTAAGTTCTCTAATGTTCCTTCTAGGCCTGTCCCTAGTCAATTGATGGTCACTAAGATCATTTTGTTGACTGGGATCAGTCATTTCAATTTGTTCATGTTCCTGCACTCTTGAATGTTCTAATTCAGTCTGAGTTTGAGGTAGTATAGGTTCATTTTCTCCCATATTATTATTAGGAATAGAAACTGTTTGAGATCCCAACTCCACCTGAAACCTTGTCACACTTGGATTTTCAGGGTCTGTAGACCTTTGTTTTTCAAAACAGGGCATCTCTTTCTCATTGAAGGTAACATCTCTACTCGTTATCATTTTATATCCCCCATGACCTCTAGCCCATAACCTATAGCCTTTAATTCCTTCAGGATAACCTAAGAACACACATTTCTGAGCTCTTGGCTCCAATTTCCCCAAATTCTGGTGACAGTAAGCTGTACACCCAAAAATTTTAAGGTGGGAATAGTCTGGTAGTTTCCCAGACCACTTCTCTTCAGGTGTCTTTCCTTCCAAAGCACTAGATGGGGTTCTATTCACTATATATGTGGCTGTCATAACAGCCTCCCCCCACAACACCTTGGGAACTCCAGACCCCACCATCATGCACCTGACCTTATCAAACAAGGTCCTATTCATTCTCTCAGCCACCCATTTTGTTGGGGGAGTGTATGGGACAGTTTTGTGTCTTAGAATTCCATTTTGTTCACAAAATTTATCAAATTCTGAATTACAAAATTCAAGTCCATTATCAGTTCTCAAAATTTTGATCTTTCTTGACATTTGATTTTCAATAAGGACTTTCCAACTCTTAAATTTTTCAAAAGTTTCAGATTTGTGTTTTAATAGAAACACCCACACTTTTCTTGAAAAGTCATCTATTATTGAGAGGTAATACTTATTCCCCCCTTGGGTAGTTGTGGAGGCTGGACCCCACAAATCAGAGTGGATATATTCCAATGAGGAAGTAGATTTATGCTTCCCAGAATTAAAATGGAGTCTGTAATGTTTGCCTAAAGTACAGCTTTCACAGAAGGGTATTTTTTATATTTGGACCTTACCAAATGCCCCCCTTTATGTAGGATTGTAAGACCTTTTTCACCAACATGTGCAAGCCTTTTATGCCATTTTAGGGTGGAATCAGATTCAGTGTTAGAAACAGTAGCATTATTTTCAAGTACTGTTTCAGCTTTAACTACATAGATTTCATTTTTCTTTATCTACCACACATCCCTAGGTCATCTAATTCTCCCATAGAAATTAGATTCCTTTTGAGTTCAGGTACAAACCTCACTCTCTCTAGGGTATACTTGTATCCATTTTCAAATTTTAGGGTCACATTACCTAAGCCTTCAACTTTGCAGGCAATGTTATTCCCCATAACCACTTCACCACCTCCTACCTTCTTAAAATCTTGAAGCCAGGACCTTTCATGTGTTATATGAAAAGTGCAACCTGAGTCCAATATCCACTCATGGACATATCTGTTGTGAGCATAATTTGCCACTTCCAGATCAGGTTGCTGAGCCACCACATATACATCAACTGTATTAGGTTCAGCAGGCTCAACAACATTTCCCTCATCAACTTTCTTTTCTTTAAGTTCTATTTTCTTGTTATGGCAATCTTGTAAGTAGTGTCCAAGTTTACCACAACCATAACACTTCCTGTTATTTCTTGATTTTGATTTAGATCTTGATTTACTCCTGAATTTCTTTCTATTTCTGTTTCCTGAATGATTTTGATTTGGATAGTTATTATATTGCCTCTTTGGTTGTCTTTCCTTCATGAACAAAATCTCAGATTCCTTCCCTTGTCTTTCAGTTTTAAGTTCCAATTCTTTACTTCTTATAGAATTTATAACAATTTCAGGAGTCAAAGTGTCTCTGCCATACTTAATGGCAGATTTGACATCCCTATATGCCTCTGGTATGGCATTAAGAAGTATTACTGCTTTATATTCTTCAGAAATTTTATCCCCTGCATTAGTGATATCTTGTACCAATTTATTGAAGGTATCAAGATTATCATCCAGGTCTTTGGTTGGATCAATTTTAAAACTAAAAACCTTTCTAGAAGGAAGAGCTTATTAGGTAAAGACTTTACTAAATACAACTCCTCTAATTTCTCCCATAGAGCCTGAGCATTTTCTAATTTTCCTACTTTTCTTAACACTTGGTCAGAGAGGTGGAGAATAATTGAGGTATAAGCTAAATCATATGATTCAGTTTTCTGTTCTTGTGTCATTGTTTCAGGAAACTCTCCAATTATTGCCTTAGACACTTTCTGTTGTACTAAAACCCCTCTCATTTTTTGTTGCCATATAGGAAAATCTCCTTTCTCATTAAAGACCCCAAGTTCAAAACTAGTGGTGGTCATTTTATAGATCAAAATAAGTAACACTTAGAAAAAACTGTTTTGATCACAACAGGCAGATAAGAGGCAGAGATTTTTTTTTTTTTTTACTATTACAGGCAAGACAGCAAAATATGTGTAAGTGCGGAAATAACAACTTTAACATACACACTATACCCAGTACAAAGCTTAAGGATCAACTTCCCAGCCCTACCAGGATTCCGTGAGACTCAAGATCTCAGGTCAAGGTTTGAGTGGAGGGTAGAGGTTCTTTTTTTTTTGTTAAAGAAAGATTTGAGAGGTATTAATACAAAAAATCGAGAACAAAGACAATCACAAGTGTTGTTATACTATTTCAGTATAACAAGAATCAGAGACAAAATTTACAAGTATGCTTAATACTGATTAATAGACAAGTATAGGCAGATTATCACTAGTCACACAGTTCCAAATGCAAAATCAATTAGGAAAGCATTATTAGTCAACTAGGGCATGTAACAAAAGAAAAAAAAAAGACCAGACAATAAAAAAAAAAAATTTTGGGGATCAAAGAATTAAACCACAGTGGTGATCGTTTCACTTGACCACCACAGATTTCACGAAGCCGAAAGTCCACAATACTCAAGATCGTACTACTCCAGTCACAGATCTACAGTATCTCGCAAGAACGTGGTTCGATTCACCCACACGAGCCAACCGAAGGCTCTGATACCACTGTCACACAAAGATGTAAGTACCAAAATATAAAACAATCAAGAATGAGTTACAAGAAAATATTCCAGATCCATAATTTGTTCTGCAGCTCGTAGAAAACTCAAAACCGAAAGGCATCAGATGGAGATCCTTTTAGTTTAGGGCTCAGACTCATGAAAAATCACAGGATTGTACCCGTCTGTTTGACCCACTCGATTCCCCCAACCCTAAGGTTTTCCTCTATCAGTTTAAAGGAAACCACAAGGGTAAAATCACACACCAAACCCTTACCAATCTCTTAGTATTTGGTTTCACATAGAAGTTTCACTTAGAAAACGAATCCAATCAGAGATTGGATGTTCACGAAGAAGAAGAAGGGTTTTGGAAGGATCTCGAATCTCAAGTAGCTGCTCAAGAAAAAGAAAAATGACGTTCCAACTGATTAGGGCAAGGGGTGGATGTATTTATACCCACAAGAGGTAGCCATTGATCAAAGTTTCATCCAACGATCAGGGGCTCCCAAGAGAAACTGAAGAAAGCGTGTTTCTGGTTGCGTTAAAAAAACACCACGCCATAGAAACACGCTTTTAAACCTATTTTTGGGCCAGGGTGGATCGGGTCAAGTTATTGGGCAAGAGCTTAGTCATTTGTAAAACCAGTAATTTGGGCTTTAGCCCATTTTTGTCATCACAGCCCCTAAAAAAGGCCATTGAGCATCACAGCCCAACATTAATATATCAATCTGGATAGAATATGGTACTGTTTCATGTAATTTTCTCCTGCAAATGTCCTACAATGTTGAACTGAAAGAACACTTCTCTACCTAGCATGTCCAGACTTCCATAATCATTGGCAGCATGGTAAGCAATCCATTGTGGGCTGTTTCTAACTTACAACAGACCTTTTGTACTATAAAGAATTCAGAGACGGCAAAAACTAGTCACTTGGACTAGATATCTTACTTCTTCGCCACTCCCCTCTAAACAACCACCAGGAAGCTGCACCCAACTGCATTCGGGAACTATTTGCAGGCCTTTCTTTTTCATGGCAGCTCTAAGCTTAATTAGTGTCATTACAATATCCAGACAGGGATGACACACTGGCTGCAAATATATAGTTTCCTCCAAGGTTGGTCTTTATTTTGACCAGAAGACGGAAGTTGCTTTAAACCGTGTTGTTTACAAGAGCTAAGATAACTCCCCAATATAACAGAGTTTGGTTCCATAGGCATCCTATAATAATCTGATACAACCTCTTCAATCTTCCCAGTGCTCCCATATAAGTCAACCATGCACCTGTAATGTTCCATGGTTGGCTTGATATTGTAAACATTCACCATTTTTCAAAAAGTTCTTTCCCCTTTTCTACAAGACAATTGTGATTACAAGCACACAGGATTGCTGAAAATGACTTGTCATCAAGCCTCAGACCAGTTTCTTCCATTCTGGTAAACAGAGAAATAGATTCCTCTCTATCGCCAGTTTCTGTGAGGCTGGAAATCGTGGCAGTCCATGACTACAGATTTTTCTCGCTCATGGAACTAAATATATGGAATGCTTCCTCTATGAAACCACATTTGGCATAGATATTCAGCAGGGCAGTACCCAGAGCAACGTGCAATTCAATATCGTTAAAATATTAAGCAGGGCAGTACCCAAAGCAACATGCAATTCTATACCATTAGCGAGTATGTGCAGGTGAATGGACTTTCCATGTCTGATCATGAGGAGGTTGGTACAGGTAGCAAGCAAACTAACCATAGTAACAAGTGTGGCTTTTCATTTACCCTGTCTCTTGGAACGCCATTATAGCACCCAAAGGATATTTACTCTAAGACTTCAAAGCTCAACAGAGTAACAAAAATACAAACATAAAGCATGATAAAAAAAATGTAAAATTGATCGTCATGCCAAAAAGAAAAGGAAGATACGAGGAAATTAGCTCAATAATTTGAAGAAAAATCAAAACTGCAATCAAGCTCTTCACTTCATTATATGGTACCAATAATTGGGAAGGCTTTTCAAATAAAGATCTGGTTCAAAAATTTATTCTCCTGAGGGCAATTTTGCTCTATGTTTGTTCAAGTAAGTGTTGAATTTGGAACAAAAAAGAAATTCTCTTTATTATATAACAAACTTGTACAATTAATTTTTTATTAACACTCCTTACCACACACTAAACAAGCACCTCAATATTAATTATAACATTCCACTTGCTCTTCCTTTGTGAATTCTCTGCACTCTCTCTCTTTCTCACCACTCTCTTCACACACACACTTATCAATTATCTCCTCACTCTTCCCGCACTCTCTTAATCTCAATTCTCTCTGTCTCTCATATGTACATACTAATATACTATGACATGGAGCTTATATTTATAGGACCCAAAGTTGGTTAGTAACTATCTAGATTAATCTAATAGGTAAGTAAATAATTAATTATTGTAATCCAGATTTATCCAGCTTTGGCAGCAATGGAATTCTTCTAGCTTCTTCAAGGCTTGGCTGCAATGGGAAAAAGGAAAACCCTTGTGGTACATAAAGGGGGTACATAATGGTGCCCCCCCTCACATGTGTCGGGCCCACCTGAATATGATATTCAGGTGG